ACTTTTTAAAAACAGTCTTGCCATAATCATGAAGTAAAATAAATAGTAAAATGAAGTAAAATGTTTTCAATATACACTATGTACTTCAATTAAAGTTGAAAAGAAACAAGGAAGATAGTACAATATTTACAGTTATTTATGAAAGTCCAGGATCTAAGAATTATTTTTCCCTTGGATGCTGGTAAATAATAAGTTATTTCTTCCTCTTTACTTAATCAAAGTTGCTGGCAGTTGTCAGGTTTTTTTGAGGGGGGTTTGCCAAGTAATGTTTTGTCTAACAGTAATTTTTGAATCTGAGTTGTTTGCTCTAGGTTCACTAGATCATATTTGCTTGAAATAAGAAGGTAAGATAATGGTGACTCCATTTTCACATCTATCAGGAGAATAAAATTTTACTTTATACCTTTTACACTTCAGAGTGAACGTCTCTTGAGTCCTTACAGGAGGCTGACTTGACCTGGTTTTTGAGGGTTTCTTGTTTCTTGTCATCCACATGAGTAGAGAACAGGCCTAGCATCTTCTAGATAAATACTGACACTGGAGCTGTCTCTGTTGCTTGTACAAAACAACCGTGTCATAAGGACATTGAATTTAGCCTTTAGATAGTGGACACAGATGGGAAATCACATGCATAAGTTGCAATGGTTGGAACTAGATGATCTTAAGGTCCTTTCCAATCCTAACTATTCTATGATTCTCTGAAACTGCACATAAGAATGAACTTGCCCATTGTCCCATGTACGTTTTCAAAGTTATAGGCAAGGCTGTACTGTTTGGTACTTGCATCCAGACTTTCTGCTGGTTGAAATCATCATGGATTTCACAAAACAAAAGACATTTTATACTTAATTGGGTTCAGAATCCTTAGGAAAATGTTGTTTGCTTTTATAAGTACGTAAATCAGAGGAACAAAACCTGAATTTGTTTCTTTAAAGCTATACAGTGAAACAGTTAAATCTGTATGTCGCCTGACTTCAGTTTAGAAATTACTTCTTGGGCTGATTAAAATATACTAAAAAGCAGCCGCTACTGGACTTTTTCAAGTCTGTATGCTTATTAAAACCAGACAGCATGTGAAACAATGATATAGTCCCTTAACTAACAGTTTATCTTGCATGAAGGAAAATACCATTATATCAGTCTTGAAACCTAATTGCTATTTGACTGTGATCACATTAACTGCTTTTTGCTCCTAGAGTTACGCTTAAAAGGTGAATTCCTGGATTCATCAACAAGCTTAGTTTACATCAGTCTTTTTGAGAAGAAGCATTTTGTGAGTTGTGTTGATCAAACATTATTTTGATCACTTATACTTGTGTTAGACTTGATTAAATACTACAGAAGTCATCTTCCTGACAACAACCTCTTTTTCTGCTTGCACTCACAAAAAAAGAAATCCCTGGATCCCAACTGTGCCTGTAATGAAGGTGAATTGTGCTTAATGACTTAAAGAGTGCCATTTTGTGCTTAACAGTTTACATATTGCAAATTACCCTGTAAATACTCTGTTTCTAGATCAAATTAATTGTATAACAAGTTGTGCTGAGAGGCAGTGAATTTTCTTTGCTATTTTAGCTCTCAGAGTTTGGCAGCTTTAAATGGTTTTCTTAAAATCCTACTCATAAGCTTTATCATACTACCATATGAGCACTTGAAAACAGACATGGAATCCATGGTGGATGCGGTTGTTGCCACTTGTATTTAAAACAATAGCTGTTATGACATTTAGTGGACTTTGACTTGCTTGTCTTTATTAATAAACCAGTGTACTGGAAATTGCATGACTTCACATTTTATGCCCATATTTAATTAAATTAAAGATAAATGGCCAAGAGAAATTCACCTGTAATTACTGTGGGCTTACATGGTATTATCCCTGATTATACCTTGCCTAAATGCAGCTTACTCTCCAAGTGCTGGATCCAAAACATTTTCAACTGCATCCAAGTCTAGCACCAGTCGACTTTGAAATGAGCATTCAGACTCAGAGACTGGGACAAACCAGATATGAAAGGAAGCAGCAGGGAAGGGGAAGTGATACACCCGTAGCTGGAAAGTGAGTGACCAGACAGAAGTTTTGCTTCCTGAGCCCTTCTCCTGTGTTTTATCTTCCCATCATTCCTCTGCTTCAATAATACGCTTGTGCATTATCCTTCTCCTATGTCTCAGCTGTTAAATTTGAAACTAAATAAATGTATTGCAAGAAAGATGGAATGCGAGTTCCATAGACAAAACATCCTTTGCTTCTAAAGTACTGAATAAAGTACTTTATTTATCATTAACTCTGAAATTGTACCAATTGACCAAGCTGAGTGCTGGGTCACAACAATTCCATGCAATGTTACAGGCTTGGGGAAGAGTAGCTGGAAAGCTGCTCTGTAGAAAAGGAGCTGGGTGTACTGATTGACAGCCACCTTAATATGAGCCAGCTTGTGCCCAGATGGCCAGGAAGGCCAGTGTCATCCTGGATTCTATCAGAAAGAGTGTGGCCCACAGGATTAAGAAAGTGATCATCCCCCTGTACTCAGAAAATATTTTGGTTCATTTCCTTAAGTACTCTAGAATAAACATTCTCTGTCGACTTGAATCTTATCTAAATATCTTTTAAAGTGCTTGCACTCTCTTCTGCTTCCCATGTTAAAATCATTTTGTTAAAAATCTGGTGAGGCCACAGCTCAAAAACTGTGTTTGGTTTCAGGCCCCTCACTAGAAGAAAGACATTAATTTGCTGGAGTGTGTCCTAAGAAGAACAGCAAAGCTGGTGAAGGGTCTTACAAGGAGCAGATAAGGGAACAAAGGGTTGTATAGTCTGGAGAAAAGGAGGCTCTTATCACTCTACAACTACCTGAAAGGACAATAGAGCAAGGTGGGTGTTGGACAAGAGGAAATGGCCTCAAGTTGCACCACGGGAGGTTTAGATTGGATATTAGGAAAAAATTCTTCACTGAAAGGGGTGTCAAGCATTGGAACAGGCTGTGCAGGGAAGTAGTGGAGTCACAATTCCTGGAGGCATTTAAAAGTTGTGTAGATGTAGCACTTGGGGACATGGCTTAGTAGTGAACTTGACAGTGTTAGGTTTACAGTTAGACTCAGTATCTTAAAGGTGTTTTCCCACCTAAATGTGAATCTGTCATTCTGTTCCTAATAATAGAGGATGTTTCCTCTATTCCCCATTACTCAAAGGACAGCTTTCCTGTCTGAAATGAACTAGGACTGAAAGCAGAGTTGAAAACATTGTTGTGGTACTTAAATGATCTTTAAGGAAAAGCTCCAAGCCACTGATTTTGGATCAATATAAAATCACTAAGTCACTGATGACTAAAGCCAGTCTTCCTGTTCAGTGATAGGAAGGTGAGCCGAGTTCATAGAGGACAGGAAAATATTTCATTTGGAAAATATCCTCAAAAACCTCTGCAGTCTCCTACCTTATTAGCAATTTTTGTGTTCAGACAGTGTTTCACTGTGCTGTTTCTTGCAGCCACCCATTTATCAAGGGCTGTGTCAAATGCAAGTCTTAAACAGTTTGACTGAACTGATGTGTACTATTCTGCAGGTGTATAATGCAATGACAACCTGAACTTCAGATTTTATGAGACTGGTGCTTCCAGTGACATCTACTCCAAAAGCACTTGTAACAGGAACACTGTGATTGATATATTGGCAACAGTCTCGTATCAGAAGCTGTCTTAGAAAGAGAATAAAGAAAAACTACAGTCTAAAGTAGATTCAAGTAAGAAAGTAATGGTCAAAACTAGAAGTGGAACAGTGTGCTTTGTGTACTTTGTCAGAACTTAGTAAATGATCTAAGTGGAGAATTCTGAAAGTAAACTGTCTTGCAGGGCATAAACAGATTTACATCAATCTAGCTCAATTATGCAGCATTTTTTAAATGTGTTTTGGTTGTGGAAACCCTTACAGTCATTTGAACTTTCTGAAATAAAAGCTGAGGTGTGAATGCCAAAGAACATTATATTAGCTGTTGCAGAAGTAAAAACTGCAACACTGAAGGGGACTTTAATGCTGTGGTGATGTCCACATAGAAGTTTGCACTATTTTACCTACATTGGCATTTAAACTTGCTTTCTCTGTTTGCAAAATGAGTGATGCAACAGTAACATTTGGCTCATTTGAAACTTTACTTTCAATATTCAAGTGGTTAAATGAATTTCTGTGCTTAGCACCTTCTACTTTAATATGTGTAAACAGTCACTAAGAGAAGCAAATGATTGTGTACCTTACCAATTTTTGTCCCATTTCTACATCCATGAGCAAAGTGGCTCATTCATTTTTCATACCAGGGAACTGCTGTAAAATTAAAATCCTCTTTGCAAGTGAGGCACCTGGGTGCTCATGTAATAAGCAAGATAGAGTAGAACAGGAGAAAATTAATAATTCTGTCCTTACAGCAGGACTATACTATTATGCTGTGTGTTAAGGCGTGAGCCAAATATTGAAGATTATAGAAAGCCCAAACCACTGAACAGCTTCGTGTTAAATGAACATTGTCTGTTTTATGCAGCGAAGGCAACAAGGGTCCAGAAGAAACAATTGTATGTGATTGAGTAGTTAAAGACTTGTTCATACCATACTTATTCACAACAATAGGACTACAAGAAAGTTGCATAAGCAATTTTAATTTTAGTATTTTGTAACTTTTAAAGTACATGGTTTTTGAAATTTGAAGACATCTATGCAATGTATACTTTATATGTAATTTCAATCTTTCAGCCTCTGTGATTATTTTACATGTTTCTACTGCTATCTGAAAATGACCCAATTCCTTCTAAAAAATTGCTGTACCCATCGACTGTAAAATGTATATTTACAGTGCATAAATAAGAGACATACAAATAATACAAACAAGAAAGGGTTATAACGATGGAGCTAAGCTGCAGTAGTATTGAGGTAAACCAGACTGGCTTAATTGCAAGAGCTTTGCATGAGGTTCTGGTAGGAGAATATCTTATTGCTTAGCCAGATGTTGTGAGTTTGCCCTGCATGTGAGAGAGATGATACAGCTCATTTGCTCTTCAGAACCCTGTGGTGTGAGGTAGTAAGCTGGAATAGTTTAGTCACCACAACTTTGAAGGTAGGGATTAATCCTAAACAGGCTTACATGTTTGCCCTTTTTTTTGTTTGTTTGTTTTATTGGTGTCTTTTTTAACACAAACAACAAATTTTACTAAAATATGTGACATTAATTGGAAACCACTCTCCTCTAGAAGAAGACAGAAGACTGCTAAGACTGTAAGTAATCTGATTTATAACTGCCTCAGGAAACTGTTTGTATCTGTTGTTCTTTTTTGTTTAATGCCCTTCCAGTAGAACAACTGATATATTTGTCTGTGATAATTATTGTGGAATACTTTATATTGTTATATGCTTTTTTTATTTGGGATTTTTTAAAAAACATGAGGGAAATCAAGGTGAGTAAACTGGAAGGTGGTAGAGAGTCAAAGTCTCTTCAAGTCTCATTTAACTGTTGCTTACCCTTGAACAGTTGCTTGTTGAACAGTTGCTGTTTGTCCCCTGTGAAATGGATGTGTCTCAGTGGGAATAGTTGTAAGCTCTTTCTGCTAGTGGCAGAGGTCTGATGTAGAGACTGTTGTTGCATTTTCTTCTTCCCTGGAGATTTTTACTGGCATCAGCAGAAGCACCATGCGTTCTATCAGGATGTAAAAACGAAATACCAAAAGCGGGTGAAAAAAAACAGGCTGACCATAGATTTAACTGAAACTGGCTAAACTTTTAGTGGTAAATTAAACCTCTCTTTTCTTTTATCAAGTATCTCATACCTTTTAATAATGTTAGAAGTTAAAATATAGATATGAAAAATTGTTTGCTGGTGTATTACTCAGTCTTACAGTGCTAATTATGATGGGGAGTTAGTTCTAGGTCACTTCTCTGGGATATATCTATAAGATTGGGCACCAGGATAGCACAGCTGCCTAGACTTTGAGCCATAAGGGCTGATGGTGCAAAAGAGCATCCAGAACACACACACAAAAAAAGATGCATTACTGCTACTACATCTTCTGCTGATCTTCAGCATTATCATTGTTATCATTCAGACATACAGCTCTTTCCTAGATCTAGCAGAACTCAGTGTCAGCCTCACCTTTTGCAGATATCAGCCTGTAGTGCTCATGGAGCGGTTCTGCTGCATCTGTGCACATCGAGTGTGTCAACCTGGAGTCTGTGCCCACCAGTTCTAACAGCTCTGCCATGATGCTAGATGGATCTCACTTGTGCAAACTGCAATTTACAGACACTGGTGTTGCACACAAAATTTTAATCTTGTGTGCCTTTAGGATTTCAATTATATTAGTATCCATTTATTTCCTCATAGTTAAAATACTCTTTTCTAAACTCATACAGGTAATATGTCTAGCAGTTGATGTTCTTATGGGTTGGGAACTGTGGGACATCAGACTTGTGACTTAGAGCTGTCTATTTAGGAAGCAAAGCTCTCTATGCTTTCTGTGCTTCATGAACACTTGTCAGTTGCCTTAGTACCTTCAGCTGTTGCACGTGGGCTTTGTTATATGGGTTGATACATCAGTTTCTGAATCAGTAAAAACTTCCTCAATGACTGACCTCATAGTCAGGTAAATGAGCAATTGCCTATGTGCTCTGTAATTTGTGCAAAGAGAGCCACAGAACAACCCAAACACAACTGCTAGTCACATTTAATGCAAACGTAGGCTACAGTTCAGCCAGTAACTGGGCTATGGTCAAGTACAAATAGTAAAAAAAAAATGAAATTCAGGGTACTCCTCCCACAATATTTTATCAATTGTAGTATGTCTGAAGCTCTCCAAAAATAATTGAATTACACACTGAAATGTCCATGTACGAAATAATGTTTAATATCATAAGCTGACAAAGAAAGGGTTAACATGGTCTCTGAACGATACAAGGACTAACTGCCATGTGTTTACTGGACTGGGAGGGTGGTTGGGTCAGCTGCTAACTCCTTTGATCTCATCATGGGGTGATTGGCCAGGACTGGGACCTAAAATGCTTCTGGGGTAAAATGTGGGTTGCTAAGACTCACCTGTGGTGGGGGGTTTCCTTCTTTTGCTTTTCCTTTTTTTTTTCCCTTTCTGTGCCAAAGTTTGGTGGCATACATTTCTTCCAGTCCTTCACTTTAAGTCCTGATGAGATTTATTTTTACTGGTGCTAGACATCTAGAAGGAGAGTCTTCTGGCTGAGTGAGACCTGAAAAGCCAGACATTTGTGATTTGGCCAAGCTTTGAGAGTCGAACCACAACTTCAGAGCCTGATACTGACCCATGTGCTTTTCCCCAGATCTGTTCTGCTTTCATCTGCGGGTCTGAGTTTTCAAGGGAAAGAAGGCAGGGTTGACAATCATCAAGGTGTTCTGTGAGTTTGTTACTGCTGGCTGATGCAAATTTTCTTTATGGAAGTATTTGGTTCCTTCTTAAAAAGAAAACAAAGTCAGTCATGCTGCATCCAGTTCTCACTGTGTGTGGCTTCACAGTTTCATAATACTGGTCTCCCTTCCTATTCTGGAGTTGAGTCTCATGCTCCACTCCTCACCCTGTATGATGATAAAGAGTTCTTTAACTATTGCCCTTGCCACTCGAGTGAGGAAATGAAGGTGCAGGGCTACATGAGGTCGTAAAGCTGGTGGTCTTTTTCAGGAGCTTGCAATTCTGTGCATTCAGGTTGAGGTTAACTTGCTTGATATCTGGCAGCTTTGAACGCTTTTATTTCCTAGTGGCTCCACTGCCCAGTAATAGTGGATAATGGAAAATCAGCTGTATTCTTTCTGTGCCAATACTAAACTCCTGCTTCTGAACAATCTGGACTATCTCCAGGAGCAAATAAAACATTTGCTTCCAAACTATTCTGTATCTGAACTGCCAGATACTCTGACTATTCCAGAATACTCTCTTCATGAAAACACTTGATTCTTTCTTCTCCTCTACAAAAACTTTCAGTGTTTTCTATGCACTTTAAAAACAGAAAAGAACTGTGATCAAATGTAAAGACTGTATTTCTAATTATAGAACTTGACTTTTTTACAGGATCATGATCAAATAGTTTATTAGAGGGGTTGTTTGTTTTGGGGTCCCAGGGGGTTGGGGTCTCCTGTTTATTGGTGTTATTGGGGGGCTGGGGGTGTTGGTTTTGATTGTTTTGGGGGGGGTGTTTGATTTTTGCTTTGCTTTGGGTTTTTGTTTATTTGCTTAAGCTGTTAGTCGTTTACATGCAAAACCAGAACAACTATTGTAAAAATTCAACTTTTGTTTTAACTAAAGTGAAAACATCTTCACAGTGTAGGCTTACTGCACATTAATGCTTTAGTAATCTATGTTCTCTCACTCTTTGTCCTATTTACAATTTTCATCTTTTCTGTCTTCACTGATTGCATAACAATTCATCTTAGATTTATATTTTTCTCAGTTTTTGTGATTTTTCTACCACTGTGAGATCGTTCTATTACAACTTTTTTCAGCTGTGAGATGCATTATGCTTTTGCCTATGAAGTGATTCAATTGTATGTAATGATCTGATATTTCTCAGGGTTTAGATTTCAATGTTGCAAAGAGGAGAGAACATTAAATCTTCAAAGCAAAAGCAGTCGTGAACATAAAATTTGACAGTGGAGTTTTCTCAGATCGTTAGAAATCAATGCTTTCATTTTCCTGAAGAATACGTGAAATATGCGTCGAATATTTTAGTCAGGGCCTGTCCTGACTGGTCTTACCTATTTACTCAGTTGGCCTTTTCATTGCTCCCCTGGTTCTAAAAGCACATCTTGGTCCCTTCAACTTTTCTGTCTTGTTCCTTTTTTTTTCCCACGCTTCTCTAAACAGATAGTGATTCACTGTATGCACAACAATACTGAAACCTGATTCAGAAGACACAAATGAAGGTTTTCTTACATTGCTTATTTGTTTTGTAAGAGCAGAGTGAAGTGATAAAGCTTGCTGTGAAAACCAAAAATCCATGGAGTATTCACTGTCAGGTCGTGTGTTGGCACAAGACCATACAAGAGATACAGGCTTCAGAAAATGTTCTTGAGTTACTGGGGAGGAGAGGGAAGAAGTGAAATAGTATGTAGGTTGGAAAAATTGAGGGGACAGGACAACTTCTAGAGGGCAGTTATATGAATGAAAACCAGGGGTGTAAGTCTCCAGAGCAGAAAAAGAAGTATAATTGAGTCCTAGCTCTTGAGGAAAGTAAGGATAGAAGGAGTGGAGAATAGCTTAGGGGTATAAACTGGAGGAATGGTTGTTACTCTTTGTGATGACAGCCACAAAAGCTTATTAAACACTAGCACAAAACTAGCATGTGTAGTATGTTTGAACTGCCATCAAATGCAAGAATTGCTAAGCACTTGCGATTGTGACACTGTTGGGTGTCCTGGTAGAGTTTCCAGCATGCACCTTCTTCAGATGGCTATGATTTTCTCTGATATATCTTTGCTGGTCTCTGTCATGATGCAATTCTAATGACTACACAAACCTTGAGTCAGTTGGTTTATACATTCCTAAGGAAAGTTGGCATTATTTCCAGTCACCAATTACTCATTTACTGGTAGGCACTGACTAACAAGCAAAATAAGGTTTCTGGCCGCACTAGTTTTCATCTAAAATTAATGAATTAAATATCGTTGCATGAAGAAATGCAGAGGATGGTGTAGCACTTTCAGATTTTGGTCAGAGTGGTAATATCAATGGGAAAAATCCTAAGCTACTATTTACTAGTCCTGTGGAAACAACACATTTTAATGAAGAAAGACTTGTAAGTCTCATATCCTGGCATAAGCAGAGATTTTTAAAAAGCAGCAGCCCTGCATATATTTCTGTGGGAATGGTCTTGTGACCACTGCAGCCATTCATCCTTAACTGTGCTTCTTGAAGCCTTTCACATTTATGTTAGGGACTGCAAAAACACAGCACGTGGGGAAAATCTTTCATTTCCAAGACTAGATTTGCAGTTGATTAAGCACTAATCAAAGCCTGTTGGTCAATGACTTAACGTTCTCCAGGCACAGATTGAGAGCATCTTTCTTCGGATGTGGAGCTCACAGTGAGCTGAAAGCACCAGAGACCTCCCACATCTGGAGAGAGCAGCTCTTGAAGAAAACTAGCTGGAGATGATCTATGCATTGGGATGGTGTAGACTGATGTGCTCAAAGCATGGAGAAAGAACGAGAACTCATTCTGCCTTCTTGCCACCCCACTCTGGAGCTACCGCCCAAGAGGAGCAGAAATACATTATTACAATTCCTAGAAGGGTGAGCACAGCCTTCAGGTGCCTCTGCACAGTGGCATAAAAAAGGAGTTTCAAGGTTATCCATTCAACTATGGCAGTCCATGCCAGGTTGTGTCCCTCAGTTGCAGAAAGCTGACGTACATGCCCACCAGGATAGATGCTAGTAGCTTTACTGACAAGAGGGCTCAGCTTGGGAACAGCAGTTATACTTGCTGAGTAAGCCTGAATGGTTTCGTTTCAGGGTTTAAAGCCAATTGAAGAATTACAAGAGGGGAGGAAAATAAGTGCTCACAAAAAAAAAAAAAAAATAAAAAACATGTTGAAGATACATTATGTCCCTAGCTTCTTTCCACTAATGGATTTGAATCCTTGATGAAACAGTGTCACTCAAAAGAATATGGATCAGGAGTGGAGCAGGTGCAACCAGCATCAAGGGTTCAGCTCGCCCACACAAACACCCTTTTGTTGCCACAGTGGAAAGGGCAACAGCAATTTTGAGAGCAAAGCAAGGGCAAATACTGGAAGTCACTATCAAATGCTACTAGAGACCTGTCATCATGGTCAGGGGCAACAGCTAAGAGCTTACTCAGGGTAAAATGAATAAGAACCATGTATCCAAACATACTGGGAGTTTGGGTGAGGGAACTTGAGATCTAGATGTGAAATGAGCTGTTGGCTACTGACTATATTTTAAATGAACTGAATCCAAAGCCAGCGAATCAACAACACCCTGAATACTAAAAGATTTGAAATCCAGGTCAGGACCTTTTGATGCGTTATGTCACTTTTTTTCAGCTCCAGTTGTAATAAAGAGTAGCATAAGAAAAGCAGGAAGATATGAGGGCTGCTCACACAGCTACAGAAGATCAGCTGCCAGTTAAATACTGGGTACTGAGCCGAGACTGAAACTGGAAGGGATAAGATTATAAAAGTGTTTCCAGTAGGAATAGCAACTTTATAAAGGAGCTTGCTATGCACACAGCATGAAGAAAAAATGCTGAGGATGTACTAGAATAAGTCTGATTTTTGGAGCATACAAGTCTTTTAAGGATTCCTCATTTCACCAGCTGACCTGAATAAATGTTGCAAACAAAACCAGTTCCTGGGATTCTGTGTCCTTCCTCTGGCTGCCTGTGACTTTCTGTTCAGTTCACTGTTTTTCCCTCATGCAAATGATGGTGGTGGTTCAGCTCCTGGGAGAAAAAGCTGATACGTTATCATTTTATCATTGAACACAGCTGCTCTGAATTTTAATAGGTAAGTCTTCTGCATCTGCAAGTAGCATATGGCTAGCACAGAGCTGCAGCTTCAAGAGTCTCTTCCTGCTCACATCTCTATCAGGTAGCTGTGGAATGGAAACCTGCCACTTCAGCAAAGGCATTTAAAGCAGGCAAGCTGGGGGAAGATATACTGTGTAATACTGTGTGAACATGATGTAGGTGATGTCAGGTATCCTAATGTGTGCTTAATATAATCTTTCTGACTTTGCATTTGCGTACAGTAATGTCCTCTAACACTCTGCTGTTAATAGATGGAGTGCTTCCAGGGTGGTGCAATTGATAACCCATCTGTAGATCCTTAGTTGGAAGGAAAGGTCTTCAGTCAAGTGGGAAATCTCATCTAAGCCTGCAGCTTTCCCAGAAGGGAAGGATTGTAACTAGAGGGTTCATTTTAGCTGCAGCAACTGGAGCTGTATCAACCTCACAATCTCAGAGGCAGCTGGTAATAATAAACCTGAAAATGTTATTTACATGGTCTTGCCACTCAGACCCCTACCCTCTGGGGCTGCTGCCTGCATACTCGTGCACCCTGCCATCCTAGGAAGTGGCTGTTCCTTTTAAGGCATATTTGCCATTTCAATCATGTCTCTCTGCCATTGCATGAAAACAGGTATTGAATTTTCCTGCTGTCTCCGAACAGGAGGTCACAACATTCTATGCAGTTGAAAGCAGTAACTCAGATATTTGAAAACAACTGCCTGTTGCCTTTAGCAGCCTGTGTACAGCTCTAGCTCCAAGAGCCAGGGTCACAGGAGATGTAGGCATGGAGGCAAAGATGATGACCGCTGTTTGGTGGAGGGAGTGAGGGGTTATTTCTCTAAACTTTGGTCAGTTACAGTAAATGTTCCTTATCCCATTTATTACAAATGGGAGACTTGTCTAGGTAAGCAAAATCTGCATTGATGTGCTCCATGTAGGTAGAATAAGATAATGCTAGGGTTAACACACTGCATTGCACTGGTATAATGACATATGGTTATAGCTAGCGTATATCTCTCTCATCATTATGTGCTCTGAGGCATAAAGAGGATAAGTGACTTGTACAAGGCCATTCAGCAGATCAGTCATGGAGCAAAAAATGCAGAGGCCTTAAGAGCTAATTATTAGTCAGGAGACAAAATCATTACTCTGAGAATACTTTTTTTTGTTGTTGCTCTGTTTTCATTCTAATTTGAAATTATAAACTGTGTCTCTCAAAGACATGGTAATATCCTCTTTTCCCACCTGCCCACCCAGTGTAGTTTGTACTATGGAATAGCTTTAGGTTTTATAATGTCAGACTTGAACAATTTCTAAATCATTGTCAAATAAAATGTATCAAGACAAAACAGTTCTAGGGAAAAATGAAAAATTATTTGTTGTGGGCTTTTTATTGCCACCTCCTTGAGTAAATATTTATTGGGAAGAATATAGTAACTCTTTCTGCTAGAGAGTATTTCAACCAGTCCCACTAACTAGACAAATGCCAAAATGGACTTTTAAACCCCAAGTAAATGGGATAGTACTTAGTGGGAAGCTACTTGCAGAAGAAGCTAACTTTTCAAAGTGTTACGTTTACCATAGCTGCCTGACCATGTGTTACTGCATCTGCCCACAGCAGCATGCCAGGGGCACATTGCCTTGCAGTATATGTCTACAAAGTCCTTGCACAGCATAGCAATATTAAACGCACTATTGCCCAGGTATGAATATGACTTTTTCTGAACCAGAATTAAGTGACATGGTGTTGCAGCTAACATTCTTCTGAACTTTTCTTTTTTTCTGATTTGACACCCTTTCTTTCTCCAATTTTTATGTGCTTTCGTGCCTAACAACTCATCAGTAGGACCAGCATATAGTAGGAGTTCTGACAGGCAAACTAATCCCTAGAATACTGGAAAAGAAACGTACACAACTGACAACTGTCAGCTGTAGCATATTTAAACAAAGGAGGAAGGGGAAGGAAATAAAAACAAATGAGGTTTTGCTGTCCTAAAACAGTTAGAGATCCCAGTATAACTGTATTGAGTAGAATGACATGAATGAACTGTGGCCTTCTGGATTCCGTGGAAAAAGGTGCACCAACCAAATAAATGCAAAATGAAATTCAAATGCTGGCAAGAAGCATAAAGTATGTTGTGATCCTACTGATATTTGCAGCAATGGCATAGTTGATCCAAGAAAGGACTCTTAGAGTGCAATGAGCACACACAGCCAATATCAGTTGAACAGAAGTAAGTATATTGTTTCCCCAAGATGTTGTGCCACAGCCTGCAGCTTATGCATTTTGGGAAGGGGAGAGATGGAGCTGGTAATGAGGTGTACCTTCCAAATGGAAGGGGCAGGAGACAGCTGGTGAGAGGAGTGTCTCTTTCCATGTACAACTTTCCTCTCATGGAGTAAAATGCACTGCACCTCCTCAGTAGATATAGAAATCTGCAGTCACTCCATCCTGTACTGCTCACTCTACCAGTACCAGAAGGCATTTTGCTGACTGAGGAGCTACACCTTTGCTGCTGTTCCTGGATGTGCATTTTTATTCTCCCTTCATGAAGCAATCAAATGCTACCTTGGCCTGTGTAACTCTTCTCCTGGAAGGTACTTAGGAGCAGTGTGTTGGTGCAACAGTGAGCTCTTTACTACATATCTTTCAAGTTCAGCGGTTTGGGTTTTTCCCACTGTACATTTAGAAATGTCTGTGGTTTCCACTCCTCCCGCGCCCCCATTAGATGCTGCTTCATCCCTTGCCTGTAAGCTGAGTGAGGTTCCTTACTGGAATAAAATATTTCTGTAAACCGGATGAATCTAGACTCACAGCTGGCATAAATCATCACTGCTCTCTTAGTTTGGTGAAGCTATGCTGATTTGCTGTTGCTGAGCTCTACCCTAATGTCTCTTCAGGATGCAAACAGCAGTGACCTCACCAGTTAGGAGTGGCCAGTTTTTAAGAATACAAAAAGCTACTGTAGGTCACACACACAAAAAACTTCAGGGTGGAAAAGAGAGGAAAAGAGAGCTCTTACGGGCTGTGAGGGGGGAGGTTCCCCCCACTACCTCCCCAGTGTGTTGGGGCCTTTTCCTTCATTCTTAGTGAGAAAGAAAAGCTCTAGGTTTTTAATATGGCTACCATGTGAGAATTCAAAGATTAATGCAATGTTTTGACAAAAGCTGTATTTGTGTCCATGTTGTTTGCAGGCACTAGAACAACATGTACCAGTGCACTGGGACACAGTTAGTTTTCTGCAGAGTAGCTAGTATGGGGCATTGTTTTGGATCTGTGCTAGAAACAGTGTTAATAACACACGGATGTTTTTATTATTGCTGAGCAGTGCTAACACAGAGTCAAGGCCTTTTCTGCCTCTCACCCCACACGACTAGCGAGTAGGCAGGGGATGCACAAGGAGTTGGGAGGGAACGCAGCCAGGACAGCTGACCCCAACTAACTCAAGGGATACCCTAGACCATATGGTGTCATGCCTAGCATATAAAGCAGAGGGAAGAAGGAAGGAAGGTGATGTTCAGAGCGGTGATGTTTGTCTTCCCAAGTAACCATTATGTGTGATGGAGCCCTGCTGTCCTGGGGGTGGCTGAACCCCTGCCTGCTGATGAGAGGTGGTAAATGAATGCCTTGTTTTGCTTTGCATGTACATGCAGCTTTTGCTTTACCTATTAAACTGTCCTTATTTCAGTCCACGAATTTTCTCACTTTTACACTTGCAATTCTTTCCCCCATCCCACTGAGGGAGGACTTAGCAAGTGGCTGGGTGGCGCACAGTTTTGGATGGGTTTAAACCATGATAGTCCTTTTTGCCACCCAATATGGGGGTCAAAGGGTTGAAGATAATGACAGATTTGATTGGAACAAGGCTCCACTTGAAACAGGTACATCCCTAAGGGACCGCAGTCTGAGTAAGTCCAAACTGGAGCAGGGGCAAGGGGAGAAGTTCATTGCAATGTTAAACCTTATAAACCACGACCAAAGGGACCAGGGGCTGAGATTGTAATGTAAGCCACATGAATCAATCAAAACCAGGACAAGTTACTAACCAGTCCCACTGAACAAACTTTCAGTTTGAAATTATGATAGCTGGTAAGCACAAGCTGCTTGCATCCAAAATAAAACTTCAATGAGAACCTTAACTAAGCAGAGGAAGCAGTGGCTTCAGTTGCCCTCTCTGCCACTGCCTTGGAAGGTTGGATTCTGCCTATGGAGACCCTACTGGTTACAGCCTGGGGAATGTGCAGGGTTATAAGAAATGGCAACAGCCTCCCCAACAAAGTGTTACCATTTCAGGCGCAAGCAATCAGCCCAGAGACAGCTCCTGACCCAGGTGTGCCTGCTAAATAGAGAAGGGGAGGATTCTGTGTGCACAGCAGGTGTGTATCTCTCATGTGGCTCTATTTATTGACCAAAAAAACTAAAGACAGTGTCTTGCCCCCCAGATTCTTGCCTCCCAAATGTGTGCTCTCATGCTCTTAGCTTTCACGTTCACTTTCTCAACCAGTTTCATACTGCAGAACTTTCTATCCCTGCCCCTTCCTAGAGTCATTCTTACATCTATTGCTTTTTCCACATCTGTTTTTTCTCTCGGTTCCCTCAAACACCCATGGGGGTACCAATACAACTGTGAAAATTCCAAATCTGAAAGCTTTCCAAAGTGGCTTTGCCATAGGATCTGTTTTCTTGTATAATCATCTACTTTATTCCTAACTTTCTGACCCTTATTAAAGGGTCTTGGTTTTCCCCTCTTGCTTAGAAAGTGAGTGCAGATGTCATCTGCCAACTGTAACCTCTTCTAAAGGAGAAAGTCTTGTCAGGGCAGATTTTTCAGTTGGAAG